TAGCGCATGCAGGAACAGCTGCGAGGTAAGGGGGAGTGGTAGTGCATGTGGGAACAGCTACTAGGTAAGGGGGAGTGGTAGCGCATGCAGGAACAGCTGCTAGGTAAGGGGGAGTGGTAGCACATGCAGGAACAGCTGCTAGGTAAGGGGGAGTGGTAGTGCATGTGGGAACAGCTGATAGGTAAGGGGGAGTGGTAGCGCATGCAGGAACAGCTGCTAGGTAAGGGGGAGTGGTAGTGCATGTGGGAACAGCTGATAGGTAAGGGGGAGTGGTAGCGCATGCAGGAACAGCTGCTAGGTAAGGGGGAGTGGTAGTGCATGTGGGAACAGCTGATAGGTAAGGGGGAGTGGTAGCGCATGCAGGAACAGCTGCTAGGTAAGGGGGAGTGGTAGTGCATGTGGGAACAGCTACTAGGTAAGGGGGAGTGGTAGCGCATGCAGGAACAGCTGCTAGGTAAGGGGGAGTGGTAGTGCACGCGGGAACAGCTGCTAGGTAAGGGGGAGTGGTAGCGCATGTAGGAACAGCTGCTAGGTAAGGGGGAGTGCTAGCGCATACAGGAATAGCCGCTAGGTAAGGGGGAGTGGTAGCGCATGTAGGAACAGCTGCTAGGTAAGGGGGAGTGCTAGCGCATACGGGAACAGTCGCTAGGTAAGGAGGAGTGGTAGCGCATGCGGGAACAGCTGCTATGTAAGGGGGCATGGGGGTGCATGTGGGAACAGCCACCAGATGAGATGGGAGAACTCCCTCAAACACGAGATAAAGGAAGAACCTCCTGCAAGGAGAGCCACACAGAGTGTTCAGCGTGGACGCAGAGAACAACCACATGTTCCGTGTGATGAACGTTTCACAATATTCCACGTGTTCTTCCGGGTGTTCGAGGCAGCGATGATTCGTTTCGCGGCAACCGTTGTAGACTGCCGACGTTGAATCAGGTTTTGTTTTTGCTCCCCCACGCCGATGCATCGCAGAGTTTGTCGTGAGAAAGGCGGGTGCAGACTACGCACGGTGCGTTGCTAACGGATTAAAACGCAGTCGCTCATGCAAAGGTAACGTCGGCATGGCAACGTCACTGCATGGCTGTGCTCCCTCAGCATCTAGACGGACGCCGGGTGGCATGTGTGCGCCCGCGCACCCTGCGGCTACGCACTCGGAGCCAGTCTAGGATGGCTGCTGGCTTTAGTTCCGTGGCATGTTTGGCACGCTCCCCTTTCGCTCTCCTCACGCTAGCAGCACGCGCGGTTATTATTCTGTGTGTTTATAGTGCACGCGGTCTCATTGTTGTGTTTTATTTTGGATGTTGATGCTCGTGGTTGTCGTAGCAACGGTTGCCGTGTGATCGCATGAGTCATGTCTGCCGCCTGCATGCTAGTCGGCGGCCATCTTGAATGAAGAGAGAGCGTGTTTGTGCGTGCACGCGTCAAATTTGGGTTCGGCAGAGACCCTAGAACAGATTAGTGTTCTATTGTCTCTGGATTCGGTCTGCACAGCCGTTTCAGCTGATTATGGTCCATAGATGGCGTCCTTGAGGCGAAAAGCACACAGCCAATCCGCTTCCTCTCCTTGTTATATTCAGCTCCTTGGTGACGCCAAGCCTGCAATATCTAAGCTGTGGGTTGTAATCGTGGCCAGCTTCAGTCGTTACTTTCACTCGGCAGGTCAATCGAACATTCTTCTCGTATTCGTTCTTGCAGAATGCGTGGCAGCCGCCTCCCAGCAGCCGCGGCCGTGGCGCGCCGACCGAGGTCAGCAGCAGCAGTCTGCCACCAGATGTCAGCACGAGAGCACCCGAGCCGCCGGCGTGGCTCATCAACTGGCAGGAAGAGTCGATTGAGATGTAAGCAGTAACATCGCCGTGGTAATGTACGCGCGCGTGTGTGTGTGTGTGTGTGTGTGTGTGTGTGTGTGTGTGTGTGTGTGTGTGTGTGTCTGTGTGCGCATACGTGATCTCATACGTGTGTGTATGTACTGCATTAACAACACTGCAATAATACATGTGCGTGCGTGCGCGCGCGCGTGCGTATGTGCATGTGTGTCTGCTTGTGTGTGTGTGTACATACATATGTACAATACACACACATATACACACACATATTAGCAGCAACAGCACAATCATGCCTGCACCTACGAGCGTGTACATGTAAATGCGTACGTGCATGTATGCATACATACATACATACTGACGTGTGTGTATACATACACGCATACATAGTACACGACTCTCTCTCTCTCTCTCTCTCCCACCGGCGTGCAGATGCGTATGTTCATGAATACGTACCTACTACATATAGTACATGACTCTCTCTCTCTCTCTCTCCCACCGGCGTGCAAATACGTACGTTCATGAATACGTACCTACTACCTATAGTCAGGGCCGTAGCCAGAGGTAAATTTTGTAGGAGGCAAATGTTGTGAGTTAAAGAACAAGGAGCAAAGCGAGCCAATAGGGCATGGGGTATGGGGCCCGCTTAAAGGCATAATTCGACCATCGATTATGCAAAGTTGACGAATGCTACAGTAACTGGCACCTTGTGTAGTTAATAAGTACATTACCTTATAGCCAAACGCGTATTAGTTT